GGAATTTAATAAACAAACCTGTTGATGCTGCCTAAGAAGAAACAGATCCAACTCTTTCTTGGATATGCTGGATGCCCAGCGCTAGCAAGAATTCAAGGCCATGTAATAATTTTTGCATTGAAGCAAACAAGCAAGTTCTCAAAAATCTTGACACAAATGGGTAACTCACTTATGGAGAAAGAAAGGGGCATTTTTATGGATAAGCAAAATGGCACCTGAAACTGGTTAAATGTAGTAAAATGCACGTGCATGACATTTTTAATCCAGGTTCCAATACACATTCAACATAACTTGTTTAAACTTGCAAATGAAGATAGAATTAATCTGATAACTATGACAACTACCCTCTCCATTGCTGTTCTACTCTTTTACTCTCTGCAAGTAGCATACAACAGGATATGGTAGTTTTCCAGCTGGCCAAACGACAGCACTCATGAGAACAATGTCACACTCTGACTTAAAAGGCTTCTAAGGAGAGAAGCCAGACTTTGCTGTTTTAATATGCTGGAACAGTCTGTGGGAGAACCACTCTTCCCTGAACCTCTCTTCAGCACAAGACAAGAGATTCAGCAGAACTTTGGAAACCTGTAAAAATAAGTATAATTAAAACTACATCCCAGTCTTCGAGTTTTCAGCTGCTACCCAGTAAATGAACTGGGACTGAATTCTAATCCTGTGTTGGTTGTGGTATTTCAGTACATGATGTGCACCTTGCAGAGATGATATGGCTAGATATGAAGGTGCTGGCTCTGTTTTTGAGAAATAACTTGCCCTGGTATCAGCATTTCGGCTTCCCTTTGACTTGCCCCACACTCTCTGCTCCTCCAAATTTTTTGTTTCAAGCCGCTGTCTATGGAAAGGGCAACATTTACCTCTGCCACCAGCAACAGGAAAATCTCCCAGGGCTTGGCCAGCAGGAAGTTTCTGAAAATGAAAAACAATTTGGGCCCAAAGTCTTCCTGTTTGTGCACACGCAATTTGCTTAGTAACTACAACTGTGCCACATGTTTGTCATTCTGCCAAAACTTAGCTTTACCAACCCTTAATCCCATCCAAAAATGTGAATTCAAACATGAATTGAAAATTGTAGGCAGAGGGGTGGTGGTGTCTGATTTATGATTCCTTAGAGTTTATTTGGACAAATATATGCATTCTGAAAACGAAAGGTGAAACTCACACAGAAGTCTTCTTTCTTTAAAGAAGAAGACTTTTTAAATCATTTTTTAAAAAATAATCATCAATAACTCAAGTTTTGAAACGAGTCATGGAAGTTGCAGCACTTGACATTGGCTGCCGAGTTGGGCAGACAGGCTCACCCCAGCAACAACTGCTATCATAAACCACAAGAAAAAATTCCCACTGCAAAAACACTGCACCGAGCCCTATTTCCCACTGCCAGCCAGCGCTGCGAACTTGCAGCCAAATCACTGGGCAGGAGGGACCTTTTTGCTGCCCTTTACCTACAGGCTGCAAAAGAAATGAGCTTGCAGCACTTAACGGGTCAAATTTACACTGACAGAAAGATCACAAGCAGCCAGCCCTGGCAAGGTGAAAACTGAGCAGGAGAGCTCTCAGCTGACGAAGATCCAACAAATTCAACTCCCACACTGCCAAAAATGCCAAACTGAAGGCAGCAGGGGTGTTTTGTTTTTTTTATACACCATGCCTGGTGTATAAATACAACACATGTTGTTTCAGCCTCTCCCAGCTATCACGTGCTGCCCTCTCATGGGTCCCCAGCCCAGTTATATGTCCCCAAGCTGCTGTGCTCCTCACTGGAGAGAAGGCTCAGCCAACCTTGTGATCAGGGAGTGGATATTTAACACTGTGAAGAATCTGGGCAGATCTCCATGCACTTGGCAGTGATGACGTGCCCAACTCTTTGGTCAAACTGCCAGTGAACAGCAGGGCATCCAAGTAAATGAAATTAGCATATACTCTAGACACAGGGGTGGGATCATGTTCTCCCCAAACTGAGAATATATTCCTATTGCATGGCCAGAAGCTGTTTACCTCAGGGCAAAATACCGAGTATCCCATCACACACAGCCCTGCTAATAGCAGCAGCGCTGTGGCTGGCCTAAAGAAACAAAACCACTATCAGCAGCTGAGATGCTCATACCCACCCAGAGCATGTGCAAGGACTGGATCCAAGGGTTTCACATACAGAAATTTTGAGGAAGAAAGAAAATGAGTTTATGAGTAAGGAACCTGGATTCAGGTTGCAGTTTATTTCAGTTTGAACAAAAGAAAAACAGTATTATAGCAACAAATCAATGTCGTGAGGCCAAGAGTGTATTTTTGCAGGTAGAGAGGTAGTTAGCCTTAGCAGCTGCACTCACACAGCTGGCTCACACTTGTAGACCTGTAGACTTGTAATCCTACACTTGAGATAAAAACAGAAGCAGGTTTGCATCTCAGCTCCTGCACCTGCAGCATTCAAAGCTCCCCTTCTGCCCTGCAGGAAGAGAAACAAACGTTTCCCAAGCTTCTCCTGCCTTTTGCTATTCTGAGGCACCCATCCTATTCTGAAGCAAAACATTTTGACATTTCCAGGAAACAAAAAATTAGTCTTTTTAGCAAAACTCAGAGCACAACAACAATTTTGTTTAAAATTGTTTAACTTCTTTAACAACCTAGAAGTTTAAAACCTCCCACACCATCACTGTGATCATCTACTTTCATCACAAATTACTGAACAGCAACAGCAGTGCCAAATCTTCTAATCTGAAATTTCATATTATTTAAAAAAAAAAAAAAAAGGGGGGGGGGGGGGGAACAGGGACGGGACGACCAGATAAGGTGAGGGATAAGCAAGGAAACATTTCATAAAGTTTAAATCTTGGATTCAGACAAAGATATGAGAATCTCCATACACACCACAAAACAAGCTTCCAGCACCCATGGATGGATGAGGAAAGTTTGAAATAATACCTTGAATCCTAAAGGCTCAAAAGTGACAGACTGAATACCATTTACGAATGCCTGGCCTGGCCATATCCCAGAAGGGCTTTGTTTATTTTTTAGGCTAAGGCCCTTGAAGCCATGTATGTATTTCATAAATGAATAGAGGGCACAAGCAATTGCTCAGTTTGCTTTGTCTAATTCATATCATGTTCCTATTAGTAGCTGAGCAAAAGCAGAGATGAAAACTAATTTTCCTAAAATACATGAGTGCCCAAACAAAAAATTATAAAAAAGAATCTACCTTAGTGCGCCTGTTTTCTTGTGGGTTTGGGTACGTTTTATCTTAAATGTTTATGTACATTTTTTGAGATATACCTGTAAAGTTTATATTCTTCAGACAATACCAAAAGGAGCAAGCAGAAAATGAACTTCTTAATCAATGAAGAACGACTGATGATAAATGACTAGAAAACAAAGGCTAGTCAATAGATCCTTAGCAAACTGAGCTAGACCTGCTATCAGCTTGCCAAAAGAGGGACCTTAACTACTATGAGCTTGTGTCTGCAATTGCAGAGGACAGGCCATAAGGACCCAGGGTGGACTCTTCCACTCCGAGCTACTAAAAAATTATTCCTTAAGTAATCTACAGTTCCTCTTTCTGCATCTCCCTGACAAATAAAGCATCATCCCAAACACTGCCATGTGTCAGTAACAGGCATCCCAGAACACAGGCAAGCTCACTTTTACAGGTGCTTGTCTGAAGCAGAAAAATTAATTTACATCAATGTTAAACATAAGATCAGCAACATCCCAGGTCAAATACTGAAGCCAGCCACCTTGCCTGACCTTGCAGATCTCAAACTCTTTCATACTCTTCTAAGATTCATAGTAGGCTCCTTACTTTTTCCACTTGCTATTTTGTTTTTCTACATGAAGAACCCTAACTGTGCTAAGAAATAACATTTACACCATCCTGCCACTCCCAGAGGTATTATATTGATTTTGCTAAGCAGTATCCAGGTTTTCCAGGTCCGCAGCTGGAAGTTATGGACTAACCTAACTTCAGTTAATAAAAAACTTCCCATCAATTATAAGGGGAATTCGGGCAGACTAAGAGGGGCACAAAAGCATACACCCAGCCAGCTTTGAAATTAATCAAGGTAGGGAGAGGGGAATTCAAGCAGTAAAATACTGAAATTTTAGAGACAATTGAGTTCTCTGTTGAATGCATCATTCAAATTATAAATTGTAATTCTTTCTATGGCATTAAGATGAATAGCATTTAGGTGAAGGAGACCATCATCACAGATATAATGCATCCAGATTTTCCAGTGTCATTAAGAACGACTGTCTTTTCGCAAAAATATGGACGTCGCGTAATGCAGTTTCTAAACACAAAAACAAGTCAGTAAAAAAAGGTAAATGTTTAAGACATCTGAATTATCTGTCAAAAAACATTTATTTAGCTTATGTTTCTGCTAATCAATCTGCACATATCAAACGGACTTTAGTAGGTGATCTACCTCCATTGCCAGAGGGCAGATGATGCTGAATACCACTGACAAACGAGGGCCCTTTTCCCAGTGGAGCCAGTGTTAGGAATCAAGCCAACATACCATCCTCAGAATTAAAAGCCTGAAGTGAAAATGCTTTCTACACACATGTAATGGATAAGACAGTATATGCTATGATTTACATAAAGATGTACCGCATATAAATATTTGAATTGCAATTGGCTAGTAGCAAACATGGAAAAGCACCCCGAGGAAGATGCAACATTTAAATAATTGAAGTGGTAAGTTGATAGCAAGAGCATCCTCTTATATTTTAAAGGCACATTCCAAATTCTTATACCAGTGCAGTTCAATCAAGTGTGTGACTGTGCTTACAGAGAGGTACAGGACAAAATTTGCAGCTTATTTTACTGTAGCATATACCAAGTTCCGTAAGACCTTCATTGGTCTACAAATATGTAAGCATGTCACAAGTTCTTTTGATATCAGGAGTGTAACAGGGATGCAAACATGAAAAGTGTGTTTATGTAGGTGGATATAAATATTTACACAGTAAATGCATATATAGAAACATCCTACCTCTCCCTAACCCATCAGTACAGTACAGGCATAAACTGTTTGGACAGGAGAAGAACTAGACACAGGTCATTTTCTGGCTTTCCTTTTGCTTTTTAATTTGCTATATGAGAAAGTTGTGAATGTCCCACATTTCATTAAGTAGTGTAACACAGAGATAATCAAATGAAACCCTTTCCATTGCACAGTAAATTCTCTCCTCTGAATTACTTTTTCAGAAATTATTTGCCCAGTATAGTAACAATTTTTAGGACGTCAAATTTTTGCCTACAATAGGAAACAGTAAGTATAGCAAATGTACATCTTACAAAAGGCTAACCTTTTCAAGTAAGCCACCGCACGACAGAAAAGTCTGTTACTGCTCATACAAACATACTATAATCAAGGTAACAAAGAGCTATATGGAACATCTCAGCCAGCACGGTGCTCCTAAGTGTTCTTTGCACAATTTTTCTTAGAACACTGCTCTCTTCTTCCGTGGTCTATGCTTTCTGTGGCTTTTCTCCTCAGAAGGTTTTTATATGCCCACCTTATCAGTAACTGAACAGCTTCAATACAAATTAGACTAGCAAAGTGGAATCACTAGTGGATTAATTTGGTTTTCTCTTACCTGCTACAGAGACCTTAGACTAGACAAGGTCTTGAGATCAAAACGAAAGAATACAGTAAAGTTTTTTGGGTTTTTTTTTTTGAAAAGCATTATCAAATTGACATTATTTGACAGCCTTCATGAGGCTGTCAAAGCCGAAATCTCTTGTGAAAATTTATTCCATAAGTGACTCCCTCTATACACAGTCCCTACTGTTGACATTTCATCTGAGATGTGTAACCAAGAGTCTAACTTCAGTGCTGATGAAGACAAGCCGTGAAGGCAAAGCGCCTTCAGTCAACTCCGCCTGGTTTGGGAAGGAGGATGCTATTTTTTGTTAGCAGAGCCTCCGCTGAGAGGAAGCAACAGGTTGTATATGCACCCAAGTGCATGACCAGGCAAAGTAAATGAGGTAAGTTTAAACCACCTTTGACCTCACTTAAGACCAAAGCTTCTAACTGGGTGCTGAAAACGAGGAGGGCTGCGGAGAGCCTGGGTACGGGGTCTTTTCTGTTCACTGCTACGGAGCTGAAGAGCAGCTACTTGTTGCATCACTTTTGTATCACTGTTTTGCCACGGAGTTAAAGCAGCAGTTAAATATAGGAATTCAGCCTGGATATAGCATCTGCTTGATTAACACACAGTGACAAGAATAATAGAAGAAAGCACCGGATTTTCACCCCAAACTGGCAGTCAGTAGCTATCCTGAGCCACAGGCACTTCCACACGCGGCTCAGGCTATACTTGAAGGACCTGTGCTATAGCCACTGAACTTCATAGGTTGCCCTAGTTGTATCCCAAAGCATTTGAGTTTAATAGCTGGAATCATAAGGAATGTGTGTAGATTTTCTAGCACAAATCTGTAGAAAGATTTTAAGCCAGGGACTCAGTCAGTATGCTGTGTTTTTTATTAATTGAGACAACCTCACTGCATCGCAGTGGTTACTTGTAGTTCAGGTTTAGACATATCATTTGCCTTAACTGAAAGCTTTACAGTTGAACAATTCCAATTTAAAAGCAATTTTAAAAGTTTGCCTCACAGAAGAAACACTAGATACAATTTCCAAATTATATGTAATATTTTCCATTATTTCCTGAAAACAAATATCGAATACTAAAGACATTCTACAATAAAATACTTAAACAGGGTTCTGCTTAAGGTACCTAAGCATTTTTTGCCACGCTCAAACCGCTAGCATTGCAAGTGACACGTTTTAAACGGTCGTCTGGTGGTTATTCCTAATAAGAAGGGTAGCTTAGTCTCCTGCCATTTTTCCCCACTTCTTTACAAGCAAATGCCACAGCACTACCCTGAGCTTTCCTTCAGGGGCTTTTCTGCTCCTCTCCCCTCCTTCCACACAAATCCTTACAATTCTCTCCTGTGTTTGCCCCAATTCCCTTGCTCCGTGAGACTTCTCTGCACTTGTGCTAATCTACCAGCCTATATTCCACTGCTGTTACGCTTCTCAGCTGCTGTTTCTGTGTTTAAGCTTTTCAAAGGTTACCAAGTATCTATAGCTCCATGACCAAAATTCTCCCTTTTTTCTCAGCTGCTATCAAAGGGTGAATCCATTGTTCGTAAGCACCTGAGCTGCTCACGAGACTCTTCTGTTAAACAGAAAAATCCCCTGCTGTCACATGTAATCATTTTCAAGCTCATTAGTGGCATTAAGGCAGAAAGGATAGAGTGGTGTTGCCCTAACAAAGTTGAAGCCACTATTGATACAAAACCATCCACTGGTGCAAAACTATGGGTGCTTTATTTCAAGGTAATATGGGCCTATTTCAATGCATCTTCAGTCTAACATGTCTTCCAAGTTAAATCCCAAAACTAAAATAAACCAGTTTCATTAACCAAAGTATGAATGCACACGTACAGCTTTTTGCACCCACTTAACTATATATGTTTGAAAATACATTAATTCTGTAAGCTTGACTGGATTTCCCCTTTCACAGCTGTATTGTTTCATTACCCCTTCCTAGAACACGCTCCACTTGCAAACAGTAATGTCAGGCCTTATGGATATAAATGGGAAGTTTTGTATAAATAATCACCTAAACTACTTCCTGGTGAGAGGGGAAAATGCTATCAAAACATACAGAAAAGGATATTCAGATGCAGTGGGCTTAGGGAAAAGGATAAAGCAAAATATTACTCTAAAAAACCAGCTAAGAATATGGGTCAGAAAAGCCAGTAAAATCCTTTTCCTGCAGTGTAATCCCCTCACCTATGCCCTATTTACAGGACTTGTCACAGTATGTTTTTCCCCTATTCCAAGGTTACAGGGACCAAAGGGAATAGGCAGTATTGATTAATGGTGTCTCTGAGTTTGAGGAGTTCAGCTGATATTACGCATTCTTTGAAGGGTGTTATCTTTTCAGAAGAGCAGGTGCAAACACCATCTCAGTTTTAAATTGTTTTATTTTCTGCTTTTCTTGACCACATCTCCTTAATGCAGAAGAGAAAGTTTATTATTCATTATCTCATACAGCTTGATAAGCTTCTCTACCAGAATCAGAGAAAGACTCAATCTCACAGCACATTCAATCACCACCTCAAAGGGAAGGCAAACCCAGAAGACCATGAACACCTCCCTGAATGACGCAGCTATAAGCCACACTGCATCACTGAAAGCTGATGTTGTGTTGCTTGTACACAAAATATTTTCTGAAAGGGGGAACAATAAATTACAGAAATAACCACACTAAACTTGTACTTATTGTTTATTCTTCTTTTAGTTTTTAATTGTCTCATTAAGGCCAGGTATCCCTCCTAAAATCTCATGTCCATTTGATAGACATACACTGGAGCTCAAGCCAAGTGATATCTGTAAATACACAGTCTCAGCTCCCCATGAGACAGGCACTCGACCTGCAGCACAGCTTCCACATACCCCACTCTTCCTTCCTCTAACAAACCAGTTCTTGCTCAGACATGTCCGTACCCCTCTTAGCTCTAGATGCACTCAAAACTACAAATAAAACATTTAACCTGATGTAGCACTGTTGCTCAAGTGAAAACTTCCAATTCTGCATGTCTAGAGAAAGGTTCCTAGATCAGTATTTAAACATTTGATTTTTAAAAGGCACTGAATATATGGAGACCCTATGGAAGTCAGCGGACAGTGAGAGTGTTAAACACCACTGAGACCAGACCATTTTTATGGCTGTTGAAACCACAAGATAGAATACTATTTTTAATTACCCATATTTTGAGGAATCTGAGTCATGACTTTATGCCATTTTCTCCTCATCTTTACACAAATTTGTCTCATTTTCTCACTCATATCACCCCTACAGTTTTCTCAGCTCTTGCCCTAACAGCTCCTGAGACAATGGAGCTCAGGTGATTTGTTTTGTTGTTATGACTTTCTTCTCTTCCAGCCTTACGGGATTATGTCCTTCTGACTTGGGGTGTCTATCCATTTAGCCGTCTGCTCTCCCTTTCTGAGGCAGCTTGAGCCTCATCTTTGGTGCGTGCATCATCCTACTTACTTTCTCTCTGCCCTTCTTCCCTTTTTCATTCCCACCCTCATTTTATTCCCTGGTATCTAAGCAGCAGAAAACCAGCAGTGGGTCAAAGAAGCAGGGCAATGGACACCCACAGAGACGACGATATCCCCCCCCACCACCACCACCTGCCAAAATAAGCATTATTTGGGCAGAGGAGGGAGCACAATGCTTTCACGCTGTCTAGTCACAAAGCCTACAATCAGAAAACCCCAATATTGGAGAACCTGCCTCTCCACCACTTAAGATGCAAGAGCAACCACCTTCCTTCCTCAGTCTGCCAGGGAAACACACAAACTCTACAGAGAAAACAAACGTGGGCTATGTGATGACAAAGCTAGTGGATGAACAAAGACATGTGCTACGTGTTCAGTCCAACACGCCAGGTGCCCATGCCATCCAGCAACCAGCTACATATTCAGTCCCACCAAAGCTGTCTCCTGAACCCACCTGCAGCCCTCCTGGCCAGCTAACGGCTGAATTTTTCATCTGGAATATACTGCTGTTGTATGGACACACCATGACAGAAGGGACTGTGATCTTTTAGGCAATTAAAGTTCCAGAAGGATTGAGGTGGGCTTTGGATTGGTGGAAGAGCAATGAAAATAAAGGAGGATTCAGAGAAATGTGCTAACGGAAACTGTTTTACAAAATTAATGGGTCATTACCTTTTCTCTCTTCCTTGTTAGTGAGCTGCTCAGAAAGCAAAGGGCATGGCACCAGCAGTTGAGAAGGGGAGAAAAAACCCAACCTGAGGAATGATTAATGTACCATCCTGCAGCTCAAAAGTGAAACGAGCAACCCCTTTATAGCTTCAGTAGGCTAATATTTTCCAATATGCTTTTAAAACCCGGAAAAAAACATGCCACAGGCTGCTTTGTGAAGAAGCAAACAGCACTGACAATTACTCACTGTATACCTGTGATACCACAAATCTTCCACGTGACAATGACCTTACTTACTGATGTTGAAATCAAACTATTTAAGCAAGTATGAGGACTTTTCTTAGTAACAAATAATTTTAAAATAATCATCATGGCTCTGGTTTCAGCACAGCAGGAGAGAAAGACTGTGTTCCAAGTAAAGTGGCTTTTACTATAAAAAATCCCACACAACGTCACCTAAGAAACTGAGTCTGCCGAAAGGATGGACAGATGCAGAATGTTTCTTCTCCTCTAAAGCCCATACATACATACCAAACATAGGCACTTGGAGTCTACACATATATACATATGTAACAACAACCCTCGCTTGTGGGAACTTGCTTTTGTTCATCATTTTACCAAGGCACTCTGGCCTTCCTCAAGGTCAAACATATTTTACTGACTGATTAATTGAAAACAAGGGATGCTACCTTTCAAAACACAAAATCGCCACACAGCCTAAGTCAACAAAACTATGAAGCTTCTGCTTATCACAGAACTGTTCTAAATAAAGTAACCCTAGAGGTTGAGATAATAGTGTAACGTACGGAGAGAATGATTACAGCCTCCTGGAAGCCATTTCTGCCTGAGGTGAGTTAGCAGACACATCCTCAGATTAAACTTTCATCAGCAGATCCCTGGATTTCATCAATCTTTCATTATGGTATAGCTTAGAAAATCATCTGGTCAGGTGTCACTAGAAAACCTTTTCATCTTCCAAAGCAAAATCTATCCAAATAAATTACTACAAGCAAAATACAATTAAAAAGGAGTGCCTGCAGATCATTATGGGGTTCAAATAGCTCAAAATAGAGGAAAATATACATTTCTTTACATTACTTTAAAATTTAAACACTGCCTTTCACAATACATCCTACATATTTTATTATACAGGCTCTTGGACCAGAAAGTGTAGCTAATTAACAACATTCATGTGCAACAACTTCTGGAAGAGCTTCATCCCAGAAACTGGGATTTTGTCAACTTCCTGGACAAATAATCCAACAAAGGAGCAATGTGTTCCCCTCACTCTGATGATGGCAAACTCATAGTCAGGGAAAGTTGTTTTTGCAGTCAGTGAATGGCGCTGGTGTTTCTCACGTCAGGATCGATAGGTAATTTTACCAGGATAAGCCCAAGGACTAATGCATATATGGAAAGAGATACAGTGCAATTTCTAGCTCAATACGGTTGTCTCAGCTCAGGTTCTCTTTTCACCAAATGTTTTTTTCCTTGTGTTTTGGTGCTTCTTCAGCAAACTCTACATTATCTATGCTACCCTTCAAAACATGTTTCCTATACTGAACCTCTTTATGCTCAAAACACATTGTACATCTGACTACTCAAGTAATAAGTGTGTTCTTTCTGCTTGTCTTTTGGATTTTCTACCTGCTATTTAACATCACATGCAGTCTGACTTTACTTACAAATACTGGTCACACTGTTTTACCCACAATCTTATCTTTTAAAATGCGTCAATAAACAAATTAAATTTCAGAAAGAATGGGCTTCTGAAAGCCACACTGGCTTTTACAAGAAAATTAACAAAATTACAAGATTTCTGTACAAGCATCTATCAAAATTCTTACGAAGGGCTACGAATAGGAAAGCTCTGAAATCAAACTTCTTATGATTAAAAAAAACAGATTCCAATAAAAGTGGCTAAGAAAATTACTGTGTTAGCAAATGAAATATTAAGGCTGTTTTTGATTGTGTGTTTATATATTAAACCATCGATAAATTATTTCTTGATGTTGTTTACAGCAACCCACCAAGAAAAGTCATGTTCTCTAGAAACAAGAAATGTTCAGTTTCAACACAGAAAGGCCAATTCCCTCTTCTGATAGTAGAAACATGAGAAGAAGTTTAGTTTATTTGCTGTACTAGGTTCTCTGTGTTGTTAATGTCACAAATAAAATCTCTTTTCAGTCAAACAGTAGAGGAAGCTTCTACTTTTTATGACCAAGAGGGAGATCACTGGGTTTGTTTTGGTTTGGTTGGGGTTTTTTTGGGGGGGTGGGGTGTGTTGTTTGTTTGTTTGGGTTTTTAAATTTTTTTAAACTTTGATGTGTACTTCACCCACATACTCCATAACTACAATATTTTTATTAATAGAGACATGAGTTTCTGCAGAAGTCTCAACACAACTGGAATTCACCTTTGGTCCCCAGATATGGCATGAAACTGGGCAGGAATGGGATCAGAGATGCCTTCATGTGGCACAAATGCCATTGTGTGCCTTGTACATGGCTTTTGGTAAATATTATAGGATACCATGGTAGGTCAGAACAGACAGAATGACCTGCACACAAAGAACTTTTCCCACCAACTCCTGTCCTACTGATGGGGCTTATATTCATCTAGTAGTGTTTGCTATTGCCTTGAATTCCTGGATTCTTGGTGCTACATGATTGCAAAAGGCAGATTTCTCTTACATGTTCCCCTTCCAACACCCATGTTTCTATGACCAGTTCTGTCTTTACGAGAAGTAACTACCCAGTCTGGAGAAATGTGACATTATCTTACTTTATAAACAAGATAATGGAATGATTTTATTTTCCAAAGTAATGTAATTATTTGAAAAAAGAACTGTAAATGCTTAAAAAAAATAAAAGCAAAGCATCCTTTACTCTGTAAAGGTGCATCACATTTAGGTGCCCCTTAAGATGCTCTATTTATTTCCTGAGCAAAGCAAGCTACTACAAAATCTGACTTGAAGGGAAACGTGCAATGCACTCATTTCCTGAGGCAAACAAAGCATGGTAATGGTTTATTCATAGGACGTTAAAACCTCTTTACTTCCCACCATTTCAAACTGGATTTGCCCCTTTTAGAGCTCTCAAAAATCTGCATCAATGGAAATGAAAATCAGTAAAAAAACCAACCAAAAAAAAAAACCCCATCAGCCATTTATAGAAGTAAAAAAATCTAGAAAGAAGGAATTGGGTCTCAGAAACACTTATCACCTTTCCTTTTGGAAATGTAGCCAGAGATAATCAGAAACTTTGGGGAGGATTAAAGAAGTTTCACAAAATATTTTACTGTGAAGATTTTTCAGGTCCAAAATGACATTTCCCATCAAAAGTCAGCCAAAAAAAACCCCCACCACTACTATTGCAAATATTGCCATAATCAATCATGGACACGAAAAGCAGCAGTTCGCTATATAATATTTTAGGATTCAAGTGATCACTTGAGTCACTTTGGTGATTCAATCCTTACTACCTATGTGTCAGGATGGGTACTGCCCAAAGATCCTGGAATTACCTAATGTGAATGGAAACATTTCTGACAGGTCAAAATGCTCAATGGGACAGGGAGACAGCTTGTTGTCACCTTCACAATCCTGTTCCCGCACCAATGTTATGTGACAAAGAAGGATGCTACCAAAAGAAGACCAGTCAGGAACGAAAGCTAAGGGAAGACTGCCTCCAGGGCAGGAGGGCCTTTAGGACGCACTTATGGTTGCTCCCTACGTCAAGGAAGAACTTCAGTTCGCAGGCAAGTCAGGTTTCAGGGACAAACCTTAGTTTTCTGCAACACCCTTAGGAATTTTCTTGCACCAAGATCTTTAAGTAATAGTAATGGCTTAAAACCATTACTTCCCTCAATCCAGCTTTTTTCTCCATCAAATCAAGTATCTCAAGAAAGTGGAAACACATGCATACAGTCAGAGTGTAAGTAGCACGTTTAACTTGGACCAGCAGGAAGACATGCTCTCACATAGCCAGGAGAAACATACTATGGGACATGTTCGAAAACATAGTTTTATATAAAAAGAAGTATTACATAAATCTGAAACAAAATTATGTTGTGTGTGCAGTTTTATGCATCTGGCTGAATTAATCTGAAAGGTTTGCTCAATATAGGTTTAGCAAAACAGCATGTAAGTGATAAACTATGAAAAGCAGGGACAAGTAACACCAGCAAGAAAAAGAATAATTTACCCATCCTCTCATAGCCCCTGGGACACATTTACTCAATCAAATGAATAGGTTTGATACCTTAACTTGCTCCAGGTGTATGTGTACTCTGTATCAGCAGACAGAAATAGCAGCAAGTCAAGGGGAATAAGGAGAGTGAAGACTCACCGGCCGTTGTCACGACCCACTCCCCAAACTCTGATGCTCACAATGGGCTGCGAATGAAGAACTGTGCGATCCATGGGGTCAATCAGGTTCAGCATGTCGTTTTCCAGTATAAGGTACATGTCTTTGCCCTGCAACTCCAGACAAAGTACAGTTACACGGTACGTCTGCCTCTGAAACCGCCTGGGATCAAGGTGTTACGCCTACACTGTCTAGACTTGCATCCTCTTAATCTACTTAACATTTTGGTTTGTTCCAAGAGCAAATGAAAACAAGTTCATTTACTTCTGATCTGAAAAAGATCTATGATAGTATCTTGCTACTATTATATTTTTAAATGATCCCAATCACAAAAAGCTTTGATGTCTTTTAAATGTAACCGTTTGACTCATTCAACCCCAAGCTACTGAGTTACTCAACAAATTATGTTGTTTATCCTTTCTACAGTAAATTCTTCCAAATATATGAGAAGTCAAGAACTGTCTTAATAGTAAAAGCTTACATAAAAACTTGTACTCTTAAGGCAGAATTTCTTCCTTCAAACAATGAGCTTTGTTTCCATAAACTTTAACCAATGGGTCATGGGACCAGACAGCAATTTGTACATGTCAAAGGATTTATAAGATACTCTTTGAAGAAAGATTAATTAAAGGGGAAAACCTAGCATTAAGACACGAATGTGAATTCTGCCGGTGACTGCAGAATCCTGGAGCCAGGATTTCTCCCTAATTCTTCTGGCATGTAAGAACAAGGAGAATGCTTTTTCCCCTTAGAGGAAACAAATTTAGAGGCAATTTTCCTTTTGATGCTAATTCACAAATGCTAATCTTCCTCCTGTGGCTAGCATTTGCAAAAGGTCTGCTGCCTTCTATATCACATCTAATAGCTCTCTTCTCAGAGGCTGTATATGTACTCTGCAGACCACGAGATTCCATGGAAATGATCCTGGACCTAGTGCTGAGAGGTAAGAGAAGCTCCTGCTGATAAGAAGATGGGAGCTATTGGCTAAGTATAGAGTAATTTGTTTCCCCTCTATTGTGCCAGAATCTATAAATGAACAGAAAGAACGGAAAGGGTCTGACCTCCTACTGACAAATGTTTCAAAAATGACCTTTTTCTTCACCTCAGTGACACAGAAACCCTCTTCCCGCTTGGTTACAGTGGCTCAAACCTTAATGATGTTTCATTTTGTGTCTGTGTAAGACACACATTCATGTCACCCTTGGAGGGGCTGCTTCCAGGGTTTCCAGGCTAGACAGCAAGGGGCAGGCACTGCTGACCACCACTTCTCACCCCCAGATCTCCTAACAGGGATTCAAAGGGGAATTGTGACACAGAGCTGGCAGCGCAAACGCCGAGAGGGGCATGGGAGAGGAAGGGGACACAGGCTGGTATATGCGATGCCAACACAAGAACATTTTGCCTGATGGAAAAAGTACAGCTGTGGTCGAGATGCAAGGCTGGATATATAGGCTGCTCCTAGAGAAGCAGAAATAGATGTAGCTGCAGTAACCATGCATGTAAATGGGGCGAATCAGTAGCATTCAACTGCTTGTGGCAGGCCGAAAAAGAAACATGGGAAATAAAATACAGAAGCCAGGATGGCACCAGGCAGACCAGTATGATGAAGGAAAACAAACAGAAAACAGTCTCATCACAAAGAAAAAGGTGACAAATATGCTTGGAGGTCAGAAGCAGTAAACACATTGTGTGAAGAATGTTAGTGAGCACCACAAAAGTTGTTTTTTGGACACATTTTGTACTTATATATTTGTTCCAGAAGGAAATTATTACAAGAAGGTAAAATCTATTCATCATGCAAAATACACTGGGATTAGGGTAATAAAACTGAATCCAAATTAGCTGGAAAAGATCGGATAATGGGCAGATAAGCAACATAAGTCACAGAAAATTATCTTTGCAATGCTCAAGGGATAGCTTGGCCACAGCCGGAAGCAATATATTTTGCTAAGTTTTGTTGCGTTATTATACAAAAGCCATTTTAGAGATGAAAACACTGCGGAGGGCAAGAAGAAATAATTTAGCCAGACTAGGAGCTTGAACATAGGCCTCAATGTCTTAGACTGCTGAAGACCTGCAGAGACCTGATGGTCCAAGATGAGGAAGGCTCTCACAGGAAGATGATGCAGGCAAAGCGAATGAAGGAAAGACAGACTCAATCTCAGCAATCTCTTAGGGAAGTGTTACATACACAGTTACATACTGTGGTATATAGGTCAATGGCAACAATACATCTTTCTCATGTAAGTGAATTTGTAATGTACAGGAATATAATGCATGCCCAAGTAGCAACAAAAACAGATGAGTTGCATTTTTCTTCTTGGATTTTACAGAACTGTGGACATTAGAAATTTACAGGGAATTTCTTTGGAAAAAAGAGGGGAGGGGAGGGCATGAAATCCCACATTAAAGCCAGTGACAAAGCTTCTGTAGGGTCAGGATTTTATGCAGGGTGTGGGGTTTTTTTGTGTTTTTACATCATGAAAACTTGGGGATTGTCCTAGTCACAATTTCACTTTCATTACATTCTAGCTAAAATAAATCTTTAGGCAATCTTAAAACTTCTATCTGCAGTCATCAGTTCTAGCTTCATAATAGATTTCTGCTGTATGTGTTCCATCTGATATGTCAGTGACAAGCCCACTTTTTTCAGATTCCTCTCTAAAAAGTGCCTCTTCCAATCACTCTTGAAGTATTACATTGCCAGCAGAAAAATGTAGTTGTAATGATTTCTTTTAAAATCAAGAAGACAATTTACTTCAGGGGCCACCTATTCAAGCACAGTGTCTCTCTTGTTTTGTCAGGCTGATTTTTTTTATTTTTCTATGAATAGCATTCTTAATTAAAACTTCCATTCAAGAGGACCAAAACTTTTCAGCAGTTTGCTTGAAAACCAGCAACGGTTTCCAATGAAGAACAATGGGATTGACAGAGAGAAATCTGGAAAAATGGGAACATTCACTCTTAAACGAGAATAAAGCACATGATTTCAAAGTAAATGAAATATTTCAAGTTGATCAAAGTTCTGTCATCTGAAAAATGGATGGGATTACACACATGTAAAGAGAGTGGGTTTTTTTTCCTTCTGGGGTCAGCAGTAAGTCCAAAGTCCATGACTGACACATCTCTAACTGCTCGTCTAGCTATATTAACTAAATAAAACTACTCCCAAAAGTAAGAAAAATGGAGACCAATGTTATCTTGTTCATTTATACATACACTGTACATTTCTTACATAGAAAACCCTTCTGAAATTACTTTAAATAGTTATGGCACTCTAAATGTGTCCCTTGAAACATGACTTTTATTTTTAATCAGGCACTTTCTTCCAGTTGCTCCTCTGAAGTGTCTCTGCATTGCTGTGGCCATGGCCAGGACACTGGACTCAAGCCTTAGAGGGGGACAGAAGGATATTTTCCCTAAAATTTTTACTGAAATAGAAAAGTTTTTCTGTGAATTCCTCTTCTGTTTGGCAGTGCCATTTCTCTTAGGTGACACAAGTGAAGGTTACAACTTTCACTCTTATATGACTTTTGCATTCAGATCTTGTGTAGTAAACCCACATTAGTGTAAGTCTCCTGAAAACATGTCAGGAGAGAGGCAGAGAATAAGGTTTGGCTAAAGTTTAAGTTGTTCCATGAACAATCAAATAACAAATTTGTTTTTCTCTGGGTTTGTCTCCGATGTCCTCTGTACGTCCCACCACTACAACCCCACCTTTTCCTTTCTTCTTGTTTCACTTACTGATCCCTCCACACCTTCCACTCAGCCACCTGTCCCCAGCACACCTCTTTTTCAAACCACAATGCCTCTAGATTCCTTTCATGTTTCCCCCTGAGCTCCCACAGTGTTATCCTGTCTTTGCTGCCAATTCAGAAAGAAGCACAGAGCTTGCAAGGTTCAGCTGAGGAAGGTGTACTGACCCACCAGCAAACCAGGAAAGAGGAAAGCTGGGCGCTCTGTTTTTCCCTCAGTGTGTGGGAATTTGTCATCCTTCAAAACTCAATAACACTGGTGAACAGATTCAAGAGTTATTGGACAGGAATCAACAGACAAACTGATGACATAAAATTAATTTCCTTCTGAAACACTGATAAAATAATCATCTTAAAATAAGCCACCTGTCCATCAGTCTCAATCTTCTCACACATTTCAGAAGCACAGGTTACACAAGTCTGGGTTTCCTGAAAGCCCTTTTGTCACCGGGGAACCTGTGAAAATGCTGCTCCAAAGCACGACTCTCAAAGCTCTGGTCAGGAGAAAGACTTTCCCTGATTTCAGTGATTCGGCTTGTGTGTCCCCAACACTGTTACTGCACAGGTGTGTACTAGCACAGATGTAAACATGAAGGTGAGATTTTTGTGGCATCTGCTGTCCTGAGCAGTTTGGAACAAAACTATCAACATTTTTTCTTGAACCCTTTTACATTTTTTGGCAGTGCCAGTTAGTATAGGGAAATCCCAAACACAGAGCATGGACGGATTTGCTTATGGAATTGTTCTTTCAAGATGTTTTATGACACAATAGGGATGTTCTAAGAGAAGAAGAAGTTCGCTCTGTTCTTACCTCTCCCCAAATGCCAACAGTGTCTCTGATGTCGTTTTTACAGTAAGAGAGTTGTCTGATGCAATTGTTCACAGCAACACTGCTTTTTCCAGGAGCCAGATCTTCTTCTGCCATTTCTACCCAGCCCAGAGATCGCACAGCAAAGCACTGAAAAGAAACCAGAAAATATCTGAACACCTATCAGAGCACGCAACACGTTGCTGTATCCCGCTATGGAAATCTTGTCATGCAACAGGAAATAGTCAGTTAAGGTTAAAGATCCCCAGCTAGGAGGGGAACAAAATGAAGGCCTTGTAGATGAGCTTATGCTCAAAGGTAAGTAAATTAAAATATAATTTGAGAATGGCAAGGTGAAAACATTTGAAGGAACAAAGAAGAATACATGACTTGTCAGGAAAAGTATCTGTGGAGGTAACAGTAATGCTTTACAATAAAATACTTTTGTTACTTTGTTAAGAAGAAAATACTATTGGATTATGTCTGTTGTGAGATTTACACTCACTGCTTGGCTTTTAAGCAGAAAATAAATTTTTTTGTGGATTACAGCAATCATTTCTAGAGTAAGTTTAGCTAAGGTAGCAAACAATAACAAATTCAAAGCACTAACAAAAAAATAAGCTATCATAAGAGGAAAGCAGGCTTTTTCCAGAAGAAATTAAAAATGACCTTTAAAATAAAACAATCTAATTATACAGTTCTTTAGCAGAAGGATGTTTAGCCAACCAGAGCACTCAGTTGGCAGAACAAGGCAAGGCAACATTACTTTGCACATATGGTGCTTTTTGCAAACAAAACAAAATGGGAGAAATTGAATGGCACCATCTCTACCCTACATTTACTGGGGTAGAGAATAAAAAGCTCTAATTCTGGAAAAAAATCTGCACACCTGCTCTCAGGTTTTACGGTGGGTGAAATGCAAGACCTCACAGTAAGTCAATAGGAGTTTGCCTACGAGACCAAGATTTCCTCCAGAGAACATTATGGCTATCGCACTCTCAAATGGCAACGCACCACCAGCGTGGGATGCACAACAGACTTACTGTTGCACCTCCCTAATAGACACACCAAACATTTAAGATGGTCCCTAAGGCTCAGCAATAATAGTTCCTGAATAACTCCATATCAAAGTCCTCCTATCTCCTAAGTCTTTAATATGGCGACAGACACTGCCACTGAATGCTGCTAAATCAAATCCCACCCCATCTCTGAGCTCTGGTTTCCCTGCGACTCTTGGCTCAAGTCAGTGATTAGATAGCGCACCAGCACTGACATGAAGTTGCGCTCACTTCTGACATCCAAATCCTCTTTGCTAACCATAATGCTGTCTACAGACATGCAGGATTCATCAGGCACAAGTTCCAAAAGCAGAAGTGAGAAAATGTACAATTAATAACTAAAAATCTGCCATCGTATAATGTCTCTGTTCTTTCACCCCAAGCCTCCCCCTGCCAAGACGGATCAAGTATTGACATGCATTAGTACTCAGTCCTTGGTACCTTGCTTGCTTCAGTGTTACTCATACATTTCTTTTGAAATGTTATGCTCTCCCGAAATGCTGTCTTGTTCTGGCAAACTGACTTGCCATTGTTTCAGTCAATCCAGTTCCCCATTAGGTACTCAGCGCAATGTTGACCTTGCAAAGATCAATACTGTTTGTCCAGCGCTGCTGCCTCGTGCCACAGAGCCCTCTTGGCTGTCAGCAGCATCCTGCGGGAAGGCAGGCAATGATTCTGGGAGCTGCACGAAGGAAGCAGGCACCAGTGACCGCTGGGAGCCCCGCTGCCTCCAGCGGGACCCTGCCCACACCAGCACGCAGCCCAGGAGCAGCAATAGCAGGTCCATGCCGGAGTTACCAATTAATCCCTCTTCTTGAGATGCAGTAAATAAATCAGCTTCAGAGTTCAAAAGCAGGTACTGAATATTTATTTGCTGCCTCCTAAAAACTGCTGTGAAGTTAGTGAGTAGATTAAGCTCACACACCATCACTGGTGTGCCATTTGGGAACCACTGTCCTCGAAAAAAGACCCCAAAACACCAAGGTATTTTAAATGTGCATATGTCAACTTTGGTAAACTAAAGGAGGAATAAAATTCACCAGTGGAAAAGATGGAGTGTCTCTCTCTTTC